CCCCTCCCCCCCGCCCCCTTTTTAAAAAAGAATAAATGTATACATTCTATGTGGGTGCAATTTTCTTTCTTTGAAGTCAATGGACTTTTACTTCCTTCAAAACGCCATTCATAATAAACAAACAAACAAATAAATGAATTGTATAGGAAAAATAAAAACAATTCCACACTCAACACTGCAAGAAGACATTCACAAGTCTATATGTGTTTCTGCTAATTGTGAATACAAATTTACTTTCAAATACAGAATTTATTTATTTACAATGCAGTCAATTCTTACTGTCGTTTCACATCATCATAACTGTGGTGTTTTATAAAGCTATTCTTTATTTCACAATGGTATGACACAGAGCGAGCAGCATTAGGTCTGATTATGATAACAACATTCCGACCAGTTTTACTTTATCTTTGATAACATGCATGCTTGAGTTATTTAAGGGGGGAAGGGGGGAGAAGATGAAAAGGTTTGAAACAAAACAAGAAAGCATTTATTTTCCTTCACAGGAAATAATGGCTGTATTCTATTAAGTAGTCCACTAACCGATTTAACTTACTTTGATAATGTTTGATCATATCATTGATGTCGGGAAAAGTTATTCTTGGAGAGATGTAAAATCCTCCATTGTCTAGACTCCTAATTTTGTAGTGCTTAATAACATCACCATGCTGTGGATCATAGTCTCTTATGGAGAGAGAATAGCTGCCTGTGGATAAAGAAAGAACGGTCATTAACAGATAGCAAAAGTCTACAGTGTCCACACGTATACAGTTGAGCCTAACAAAATCACCTTTTTGTCTGTTTTTCTTTTTACTCCCTTATTTCCTCAAAAAGCATTTTGCAATCAACATGAGGAAGTTAACCAATAGCCAGTCCTGAACTGGTCACCAAAATGCTTACAGTCACACTTTCTTTTTCAATCTTATTCAACAAAGTTAGGAGTGCCATAATCCAGAGAGCTCTACATCCAACACCCACTTCTGCAAAAAGTCCCCCCGGCTCGAGTGGAACCGGCTGGGAAAGCAAGGCCAGGGCTGTCATACTCCTCAGGCAGAGGCTGAAATTCGGACATCAGCGTTTCGGAAAAGGAACACGCTGGATGTCATGGGCCAACTAGCAAAAGGATAGCTTGGAGATGGCTTGAGGCACACAGGAGGGAGGGCAGGTCTGTAAGTCCTAGGCAGCCTAATCTCAGCTGGGATTTAAGATGGGGCAGCAGAGCATCTACCCTAAACTACAGAGCTCTTCGTTTCTTCCACTCATACAACTCCTGTTGTCCATTTTCAAGGTTAAGAAACCACCTCATCCCCTTCTCTCTCCCCCCACACAGATGCAGTGACAGAAAGATTTTGGGGGTACTTTGCCTTACTCCCAGCAGCGTATGTTGAATTTAGATCCCTGTCTCCATTTGAGAGCACAGAAACAGCGATGTGGGCCCATTACAGAGAGCTACCTAATCAAGAATCTGCAGTGTTAGGGGCAGAAAAACCGCCCCTGTGGAGAGGATAGACATACAATCCGCTGAAGGGATTCACGCATCTTCCTCTGGAGGATGCAGTGTTAGAGTATCCGGCTGGAGAATCCCGTCAGGCTGCTGTCAGAGTCCAGACGCTGGGGCAGAACCTCCCACATTTTTCTGAAAGTCCTAGCCAAAGAGTCTGGAGAGTTCACTAAGCTTTTCAGTACAAAGAGCTCCGTCTACAGAGAAATCTTTACCAAAAAGCTTTCGGAAAAAAATCACACTGCCGTGCAGAAGTGTAAACCCTCATTATACACTAACTACATTTTAAAACTTGTAGCAATGGATACAGACCCAATAACGGAAGACTGTAAAATGCAGCATCTACTGTTTACAATGAAAAGTGTCCTTCAATAAAAGAGTGACAAACGTTAGGAAGGGAAAGGATCAAAAATGTCAGCGTAATCACACACACACATACACACACATGTTTTTTTCCTATCTCAACTTTGGGTGTTAACCTGTAAGTCTCTTCTCTCTTTTCCTGGTGATTTTCTCATCCTTCTCACTCCTACAGAACTGCAGAAAATTCACACAATAGGACACACTAGGACTACTCCACACCCAGTGCCATTTGATGCCAATTTTTGTGAAGACAGACTGTATGTTTTTAACTCTACTATCAATTCCAAAGTAACCCACCCCAAAGCCTACCTTTTAATGTTTCACTTTCCCTGATAAGGAAAGCTCCAGGACTATTTCCAGGAGCCAGGAGTTGTCTCTCGGCATCTTTTCGTGTTATGTCTTTGAAGAACCATCTGAAAAATATTTCAGAGTTAGAGCTCTTTCCTTCCCCCACCCACAAAAGATACACCACCAGGGTGAAGAAGTAGTTTGCCAGTATTTAGAGCCTGGGAGAACTTACTCTTCTGTTTCCAAGGTGTTTACTTTTGCCACGTAGTTGCTGGGAATGAAGCCTTCCTTCCTCGTCGTGAGAGATTTTGCTTTCCACCATTCTCCCAGCCTGAAAAACAGAAACAACAGTAGTATTCACAGGAAAGGAAAACTACAAAGTGTTATTTGGGTTCTACTGTGCTGAGAGCTTTGCCCACGCTGGAGAGAGAAGCAGCATCTTTTCTCTGAACTCAAGCCCCCTGAGAAGCCATTGTCTCCGTCGGATCAATGTTTGGTCGCTATTACCAAGGGCAGCTGCCAAGTCCTACCAACAGCTCCACATGCATTTGTATTTTCACATATAAGGGAGCTCCCTTATCATTAATACACTCATGTTATGAGTAGGATATAAAAAAATTATAAAGGGAATTAGACAAATCCAAAGAAAAACTACAATACAATCAGTACTGCCATACTTACTCCTCAATAACTTTCAATTTTTCTCCTTTTTTGAAGGACAAGTCATCTTCATGAATGCCATCATAGGGATACAAAGCTACCACAATGACTCCATGCTCCTCTGTTTCTACAAAGGTAGAAAGCCAAAGGCACGTTCGCATTATTTTGCAGGCTGACATGGGCATAGCACACAGCAGTAAGATTCCTATGAAAACGTACCTTCACTGACAAACCTCTGTCCTGGTAAGAGCTGTGCTTCTGTATTTGCCTACAATAAAATATGTCTTCAATTAAGCAGTTTTAGATCTTTGTGACAATCTTACATTACAATTACATATAATTCAGTTGCTTTGGTATCGTCTTACATGTCTTAAAAGGAAATGCTCCAACCTTTTCCCACCATTCTTCAAAAGCGAATTACAACATAAAAATATAGTAAGTCCTCACTACATTTTGAATTGAGCAGCTCACACCTCGGGAAGGTGTGACAGAAGCTGTGAGGAGGCAGTTCACAGCTTTGTGACTTCTGCTGAAGAGCCTTTAGGCAGGGCACTTTAACAGGACAGTTATTAACATGTAGCTGTCACGCTAAAGAACTACAAGCACGGTTATGTTGCTAAGATTGTGCAAGAAAAAAAAAAAAAAGGTAGTTTGTGATGTGTGTATGCTGACTGAGAGCACGCTGAGTCCACTGCGTCAGCTGGTGAGAGGGGAGAGAAGGGTGTCATTCACACCCGCAGAGAGCACGGCCCCTCAGCAAGGGCAGTCGGGGAACAGGGTTTCCTCAGCACGGTAGAGGCGGAGGGGGAAAAGGTACCAGTCAATCTGCAAAATAGCAAACCCACCTGGTACCCGAGGGGATTCCCCATCCCAGCACCCTTCCTTTCGAATGCCAGGCAGCTGCCATTAGCTTGTTCCTCCTGCAGCACAGCGCTGCTGCCTTCACCGCTGCACCCTCCGCTCCCCTCCCGACCTTACCTACGCACCTCTGCCAGGCCCAGCAGCCGCCTTCAGTGAGTAAAAGGAAAGTTGACTAGAGCTGGTAAAGAATCGCCCCTGATTACCTCAGCCTTTTTAAATAGAATAATCAACACCTAGATCCCACAGATATTAAAAACTCAACGCTGATGCTTTTAAAAACAGTTCTAAACTACTTCAGGTTTTCTAAAGTCACCTAGCGTTCTTCTACAGACGTAGCTATATCTAGATCAAGCGTTGCCAAGGATTACTGTTTTCATGCAGAAAACTATGACAAACATAAAGTAATTCAGTAACAAACCGCCAATTTTTATTTTTTATTTCTTTAAGTACTTATTCGTTGAGGATGAACTGCACAACACTAAAAGCCCAATTGTGGACTAATGATCATTTGAATTTCTTCATGCATGTTCTTTGGATTGAAATTTAAGTTATGCCAGTCATGCTTTGATCTTGCTACTGGAATTCTCCCCTGAGACTATCTACTTACTGGCCTTTGCTGCTTATTGGACGTTGGATCCCTCACATAAATAGTTCGTTCAGTTTTACGTACTGGTTGATTCTTCAAATCTAGCCCATCTCCATGCAGACTCTCTTTCCTTTTTGATTTTATACATCCCATATTTCCTGTTGGAATAAAAAAGGTATTAAACAAAAAACATTATGCCATAAACCAAGCTGTTTCCCATGCAATCATCTGGGCTATGCAGCAAAAACATGCTTCCTTTTCACACACAATAGTTCACGGGGAGAACAACTGAAGGTTAGGAACACATGCTGAAAGCTCTTTTCTGCTGCAAAGGAAAGAAATGACTTCTTGTCTCAATCCACAGATGAAGTAAATATTTCAAAATAGTTATTTCCCATTTCAACATTTTCAGATTTATCATTTTTTCTCCGCAATCCCCTCCCTGCCCGAAACCTCTTACATCTTTCTGATACTACCGCGAGCTTCAGAATAGATGTAAGAAAAATATAATTACTGTAGTGACAACTTATTTCTTGTGTTTTAGAGAAGAGACTGCTTTGGAAGATGTAGGAAAAAATTCCAGTCCAAATGATGAGAACTGCAGCTGGAGTTAGCAATGCCTGTACCTCCCCACTTCATTTTGCATATGCCAGTCTAACAGGGAGCTCGGATTGATTCAGCTGTCTCACATGAGGCTGATGACTTGTGCAGTCCCAGCTCCATGGCAGACACGCTGCTACTGTGCCCTTCAGTAATGAATCTCCTTGTTCAAACAGGCCTGTTACAGCAGTCTAAAACAGCTGATGTGTGTATCAGTGACGGCAAATCACCACACAAGTATTTCTTCTTCGATACAATTTAGAAGGATAAGCCTTCTCTCAGGATGTGCATCCATGCTAAATCAGATGAGATACAGCTGTTAGCATCTACACGGCTGGAACCTGACTGCTAATCCCGTGATGTAATTATATAGTACTTCAGCAAGCACATATACAACATTATCTCTATATCCCTCCCTCAGAGGAGAGTAATTATACTTACTCTTCAAAGAATCCACTATGAATGCTTTTCAAACCTCTTCTTCCTTCCTCTCTCCCTCCTTTCAGGTCAGTGCTCTAATGCTAGGTTCAGAGTCACATCTTCCCTTGCAGGCAGATACTCTCACCTCCCCCCCGCCCTAATTAATCTTTAAAGCCAGTTCTTTGAAGAACAATGTAAATCCTAAAATAAGAGCTCAGTGCATATACAGGCTCAAGTAAGCCAGCGCTGACTAAAACACAGCTGGAGAATCTAAAGCAGATTGTAACACCCTATCCTACATCTCACTTTTACCTTCATCTCTAGGACATTTCTAGGACATCATAGTAAACAGTTAAAGTAGTAGCCGTGTCCCACTTGCGGACACAACTGTTTCAGCGGGATGGCACCTTACACACCCTACCCCTGTAGGGATGAGAATTAGCCAGAGTGGTCTGGGTCCTTATTAAGACTTTTACGTTTGCAGCAATACCGATAAAAATCATAACCTTAACTGACTATAACAAAAAAAACAAGGCCACAAGCACTCCCACGTGGCAGGTCTCAACTTCCCACATTGTCTTCATTTAATCTCCCATCCTGCCGTTGAGGAAGCACCACATAATGACAGATGAACAGTCCTATCCACGGGCTGAACGTTTTCTTTTAAACATGAGAGGAGGGTATCTCCTCTCCTTCCCTTTCTGCAAATTATCTGTCACCTATTGCCAACAAATCTTTTGTGTCCATAAAATTTAAGCAGTGATGCAGTAAACTGTGATACTCGTTTAAAAGCAGCATGAGAACTCATTGCTCCCCTTCTCGTCTTTTCTTGAATTAAAAATAAAAGGAATCATACAGAAAATCAATAGGCACTGACCAGGCATCACCATCCCACAGAGGCAGAGAATAGAGTTTTTTCTTGTTGTGTATCAACATTTCAGTGTTCCCGTACTCGTTTGAAGGCACTGGGGGGCACCTTCAGCCAGGATCTTCCCTTAGAAGCAAGTATCTTTAATGCTTGATTTTAGTTTCTGAGAACACCCATTAGGAGATTTTTCCAAATTCTCAGCTCTACGTGGGTTACGTACTGGTTGTTTTGAAATACTGAGAAGACTTTTATTTATTTATTTATAATTGTGGATATATGGATGACTCCTGTCCTGTAGCAAAATGGTTCATAGGAAATTTCTGTATACCCACAGGCAAGTTGGTGTTTGCATGCTCACCCTAGACATCAGGAAGCCCAGTGTTTAATTACCTGCTGTATCTGCAAGATCAGGTATTTAGCCACCTAAGTGCTAACCTTTTGCTCTTGAATAGTTCTGCTTCTACAGAACAAAGAGCTGAAGTGGAAGACATAAGGTAATTTGATCTAAGTTGTCGGCCAAAAATCCCTTTCCCTATTGCTGTAAGAAAGCTGAAGATATCTTTAGAGACTGCAGCTTGCCCAGTGCCAGTGTAAACTCAGAGAAAAGCATTTTTACTCAGATTTTTTTCTGCAGCTTAAAGCACAAGAACAGCTGTAACTTAAGCCTGCTGTGAGATTGTGCTGGTAAACTCAAGGTTAGCATTTGTTCGTGACAGTAACAACAATGGATCAGTAATGCCAACGTGCAGGTGCTCCGTAATCCCACAGAACTCCACTCCATGTCGTGTGAAATCACACAAATACAGTATGTGAGGTAACACATGTGATGGCACCAAACAAAGAGAAGATCCTGAGCCTCATCATGAACACTGTTGGTTTTCTTTTTTCCTCATGGACATGAAAGCTCGTAGTCCTCACAGGACTTAGCTAGGTCTACATTAGCAAATAGCCCCAACAGTTGGTGCTGAAGCCCATATCTGCTTCAAGCGGGGGGTTACTGCCCCTTTCACTCCAGTGTAGCCCCAAGGACTGAAAGACCATAGCAAGGGTTTATTTAAAGGTAAGCCCCGCAATGCATCTTCCTAGAGCAGTCCTGTTCTTGCACTCCAACTCTCCCCACAAGCCTAGCAAGTGGGGGCAACTGCTTCAGGAGTGGGATCCCGATCTAACTAAAATGCTAACGTAGACACATCCTGAGACTTTTAGCTTCTTTATAAAACAAGCCTCTTAAATCTTGCAAAAGAAACATGAAAAATATGCAATAACATAAAATGAACATTTAGCACAATATATATCAATATAGTTAAATAGATGATATATAATTTAATATTTAATTTTCTGTCCTTATGTTATTTCTAAACAAGTATAGGCAGACAATAGAGACAAAGCATAAAGAAAGTTGTGTGCACTGGGTTCCGGACCGCACATTTAAAATTCCATACGATCAGTCCTACACCCAAAGCAAACATCACTTTCTTGGTTACAAAAGCTTCTGCTCAGTGAGTGGCATACAATGCCAGGCGTATTTGTTTCCAGCATAGTTTTATACATTTTTACTGAAATCTGACCCGGTCTTTCCAAGGGTTTTGAGAGTGGATTCACACAGCCAGTAAAAACAGCAGGCACTGATGAGACAGTTTCAATCAACACACGTTGTAACGGATTTCAAAATACAAAATGCTGTATCATTACCAAAGTTAACTTCACAAACATTCGACCCTAGCAAATTACCTGTACAAAAAAGCAGCTTTGAAATACAAAATGTGTATGCAGTGTACATCTTGCTTAGTTTATACAGTAGTCATAAGGAAAATCTGAAGGGGGGAAGTTCATTCATGCATAAATAAAATATTTCACTCAGTGTAAAATGTTTATTTGCATAGCTCTCTGTTGCCATATCACAAGGAGCATCAAGGAAGCATTTTGTGCAGATATAAAGAGAACATGGTACGCAAAGAGCAATCCAGAGAGCGCAGCATCGTTACAAATGAAACTATGTTATTGTCCATCAGAGATAAAAATAATTTAGACATCAGAGGAAATGCTGTCAGCCCCTACTCAGACATTTCCAACAGTTTTGCAATACAGGAGACACTACTTTTCATCCATGCTTTTCATTTATTGTCCTGTCCACACCTCTAGACATGAAAGATAAACATTCAATTAAAAGAAGCTCTATGTAACATAGCTGCTAACTTTTATAAACAGATATCTAAAAAAGTAACAGCTTCTCTTTTAACAAAGAGCATATTGTATTTCATGGCTAAAAGGTAAAGGCAGGTACTTGAGTTAACATCTGCAGCGTGGTGACAAGAATCTAAGCTCAGGCAGCCTTCGAAAAGCTACATGAGTATCCGTAAGAACCACCACACAGAGCGCCTGTAGCAGGCTGTTCCACAGGCACTGATTTTGATGCCTACAGAAGCATTTGCCTTGAATTTTTCCCTCTGAATCCCCTATTTCGTCTTGCTACAATAGCACTTGGGTCTTAATTCCAAAATGGACTGGACGGGGGGTTTGGGGGTCAGAAACTAGTGCAACATTTTTCCAGGGTTAAAAGCTGCTGTCTGTCCCCAAAATACTATTGCTTTACCTGCCTTTTGTTACATTACCAGCAGAGTAATGTGTCTAAAGCCACAATACTGCCTCCTGCAAGCAGTCCAAGTTCATGTGACCATTGCCTGGCAAGCCACCATCAGCAGCATTTGAGGCTTCATTTCCTCCCAGCGCTTACCTTTTGCATCCTCTACAGAGCCAATCTCATTTTTCGCTTTGCTAGTGGTCGCAACTATTCTCCTCCTTGTGATTCTGTTACACACAATATTTACAGTGCACATTAGAAACCACCTCCTAAAAATCCACCTGACATGTCTGGGCTTTTCTTGATCGAAGTCATGTCTTCATGAAAATGATTCTCAAATCCCCACAGGTTTTTCAACAGTTTAGAGTGGCTTCATTTTAATCTTTGCAGAAAATGCAAACTTTTAAAAAACAACTAAAATAGACTATACTTTGGCTTTTCCAAAAAAAAAAAGTAACTTTAAAAAGAATTAGAACTACATTGAGTATACAAGCAACTCTATTTTACCAAATAAATATCTGTTGTTCAAAAGGTCAGTAATCACTTATATAAACACCAATTCTGTGAGTGGCTTAGGCTTGAAACACATATATACATATGTATTTTAGCAGGTACATAAATAAAATAAATTTATATTCAATTACAAGGTTTATAAGCAGTAAACTCTTCATTTAAGCCACAAAA